CCCACAATTTTCATTTTATTAGTTTTTCAGGCAGGTGGATATCTGAACTACTTTATCTTAAGTGAATGTGAAAACTTGTTAATAAGTAACTATTCCTGAGAAGCTAAAATGTTTAAATAATTTTCAATGCCATAGTTACTGCAAGAATACAAAACATGGCATAGTGAAAAATTAGCACAGAAAATAAGTACACTCTACATTATGGCTTTGAATTCTGTCATAATCTTGTCATAGTTTTCATGAATGTGATTTCATCTACAATATTTGAAAAATAGCTATCAAACTTACTTGCAATAATATAAAAATAATGGCAAACCATTGATAAATTTAGTTTTAGATTTAAATATGCTAAAAAATCACAATAAAGTCTATCTCACCCCCAAAACAATGTGTATGCCGTTTATTCATGACTATGTGATTATTTCTACATTTGCTTTCCTTCATTGTACTAGCTTTTTACATTTAAGAAGGAATTTAAGATATTCTTTAGGGCTCTACCAATGAAAAATGTATATTATATTTCGGCAAGTGTATCATTTATAAAATACATGATATAATAAAGTGAATGCAATTTTAATGATCTAATAAAATGAATGCAATTTTAAAATCTGTGTATTTCTGATAGATTAATAATGCATGACTAAAACTGGAAGAAAGAAATAACCTAATGCCATAAGCCTTAGTGAAGGTAATTTATCAAGAATAATAAAAACAATTTTACAAAGATATTTGTCCATGAGGACAGACGGCATTTTAGACAAAAGTATTGTCCTGTGTTTAATCCCAGAAGCAACCAGTAGTAATACTAAAATAAAATTTTTAAATTTTAAACATATTGAGGTATTTCACAATCATATCTATGCATCCTAGTTCATCAATATTAGAAATGCTAATATGTAAGTTTTTGCTAAAACATGGAAATATATTAAGAAAGGCAAAAGTTTTATTGATTTTATGTTATACATAAAATAACAAGCAATGTGTAATTATTTTCATAAATGAAAAATTATAACCTTCACATTTTAAAACTTAAGTTAGAAATTTTTAATTTTAGTTCTCTACAAAATTCTAATAGCATCAATGTTCCCTCAACTCAGATTTGTTTTACAAATGTATTATCTCCAAATACAGGAATGAAGCAAATCAATATACTTGTTTAATTCAGAACATTACACATCAATTATTTATCATTTAAAAGCTGAACATCCAAGTCTTTTAAAGTTCATTTTCATTATTGAATAATACATACTCTCTTGCTTTAGGTTGAACAAAAAAGAGACACATTCATAGAACAACTTTAGATTTAGTTTTAGATGGTCTTTTAAAATTATGCCATTTCTATAATTTTATATAGTAATTTAATTAGATTGCTAACAATCACACCCAATACATGTGACTTTTTTCCTTTAGGATTAGAAAGCAATATTAGGAGTCTTCAGACTCACATAGTCTCCCCAACAACAGTTTGGCTTAGTGCACAATTGTTTTCATAACAGACCGTTTCAGTGAAGAGTCACATCAGACTTGGAGTCATTACATGGCTCAAGAAAAGATGTACAAAAGAATTTAAAACTAGGATCGTCTGACTTCCAATGTAGCACATTTCAGTAAAAACCAAGACTTTGTACTCATAAATATTAATGTTTGCAGATATGCTAATGTTGGTCTCTAAAATTAATTGCTTTAAAACATATCTACATGTAGTAATAATGTAAATGAAGCATGAGAGTGACTAGGTAATGTCAGCAGTCATTTAGCTAATATATTCGCAAGCATGAAAGCTTAATTTTTTAAGTGTTTTCTACTATGAATGTCTGAGCTTAGTTTGTAGAAGTTTGTACAACAGATCCAAACTGATTCCATATGAATTTTGGAGAAAACATTTTGGAGACCATAGAAAATGTAATAAATGATATGTCATAGCTAAATTGTATTTATTTGTAATAATGATTCCAAGGACATTATTATCTCAATATTATTCAAATCTTCAAGAGTAATTATGTATATATACATTTGCTATATGTATAGTTTTATACATATGTTCACATATATGTACATATGTATGAAATTACTCTATATCTATATTGATTGCTAACAAAAATTTTTATTTGCTTGAATGATTCGTTTTATCAATTGGTCCACTGGTTATATTTTAAAGCTTACACAGAGATTTAGCACTGACAACTGAAGACTAATGAATACCATTTGGAATCTACTTTTACCTTTTTTATTTGGATTGAAACAATGACACTAAATTCTGAGGGCTGAGAGCTAACACAAACAGTTGTTCTTCAACATGGTTTCAAATGATGAGGGGGTGCTGTTATGGAGAAATAATTTCTCTGTGCAATAGCTAACAGTTTCTTTAAATCACCTGTGTCTATGTAGGGAGTTAAATTTTGGTTGAAAAGAAGATTCAGAAAATAGCATGAAAGAATTATGTTTCCTGCCTTGACACTGGTTTTTAAGTGTGGGTTACCTGTTTCTCCTTGTCATAAACCACATTACTTTATAAATTATTCTTCCCTTTCGATAATGGGTGAAAACATTAAAAACTATCACAGCTTACTTCCTAAAGATATTATAGAAGGAAATTTATGTTCTAACACAGGCAAACCACACAGTCGCCTGAAGAAAATCCCATCCGACTGTTGTACAGGCAGAACGATTATTCTTAACCTAGCATCAAGTTTCTAGAATGCTAAAAATATTTTTATTTTATTTAATGATTGTGAAAATACCATACAGAGGGGTTACAATTACATAGGCAAGGTAATGAATACATTCATTATCAAGCATTGTTTCCTACTCTTTTGTTTCCCCTTCCTATACCTTCCCATCTCCTCTACCCCAGCCAAAGCTGTAATGTTTATTTTTCAACATAACGTCTTGTACATCTCATTGTTGCAATAGGTCCCCCTGTATCCGTATTTAAACAATTTGTTTTTTCCCTCCACAAATTATACCAACATCAAATACAGCGAAAACAGCGGTTATAACAGTGGGGGAGGGACATACAAAGCAGCAAAGAAATCATCTTATAAATATGTTAGAAACAATAGCAAGAAAGAAAAACCATTTGAGTCCTTATATTGGGGTTCATTTCACCTAACATCAACTTATCTGACCGTGTACTTTCTAGAAAAGAACAATTGATATTGTCATGAAACAGTTGTTCTTTAGAAAAGTAAATTAAAATTCAATCCAGTGGGATGGTTTCATGGTCAAACTAGGATTAGAGCATTTTTTTTGATTTCCTGTTCTCAGTATTTCTTTGTGTCCATAGTAAAATAATAAATCTACATGTAAAGTTATAACTTGCAAAACTTTTCATATACATATTTATTTAGTTAGTTTAAAAGTTATTTACTCAAATCCCAGATGTCTACCTGCATCTGTGGTATTGGTTAATATCAATTATGCCAAGATTATGCTTACTAATTAATTATTTTTGACAGAAAAGATTTTTTCAATTTTAAATTGTTATATAAATTAATACTTAACATGTACAAGATAATAATAATTATGAACATCAATAAAATCAAGTTACATTTTCTTTTTTTCCTTTGGATACCTCAAGTTCATCAGTTTAGTTTCCTTTCATGCTCTGATTTTCACTATCTCTATTTTATAGCTGTATATTTTTCCCTCATGTTCAACTAAAGATTTGTAATATTTGACTCATGTTCATTTTACCCAAGATCATACTGTTTGCACATTGTGAGTCCTATATTGCATTATTACAATGGATAATTTTCTATAGCTATTTTCCTCATTTTAGAAGAAAGTGGATTCTGTGTTTTCTTTTCTTCTTATATTACTTAACAGAAGACCATAAATATCAGCAATTCTATAATCCAGCCTCTAATCTATTAGTTAAAATGTTTACTGGAGCCAACCACCAGTTTCTCAAGTCTATATAATTTTAGCTACTCAGGAAGCTAAGGTATAACATCACGTTTCAAAGCCAATACAGAAAGGAATGTCCATGACACTCTTATCTCCCATTAACTACCAAATAAGACTAAATAAATAAATGCTCAATAGGAAATATACTCATTATCTTGCTCATGTAGCTGTAACCCCTCTGTACAGCATTTTTACAATAAAAAACATATAAAAAATAATTAATTAAATGTATAAATAAGTAAATAAACCCTCAAAATGGAGCTGTGTCTCAAGTGGTAGAGCACTGGCTTTGCACAAAATGTTCAGAGACAATGCCCAGGTTCCCAAATCAGCTAGTCAACCACAGGAATGATTTTGAAAATTTTACAGTCCAATTTTATTTTTGTTATGTTTTGTTTATTGCCAGTCCCAGGGTTTGAATTCAGGGCCTGTTCACTGTCCTTGATATTCTTTTGCTCAATGCTAACACTCTACCACTTGAGCCACAGGGCCATCTCTGGCTTTTTCTGTTTATGTGGTACTAGGGAATTGAACCCAGGATTTTATGAATGCTAGGCAAGCATTCTACCACTAAGCTACATTCCTAGCCCTACAGTCTAATTTTAAATCTACCTTCTGTCAAAATATTTATAGCCATTCACTTGCAATTTTATTTCTTAAAACTAAATAATTCCATGCATAATATTTGTATAATTCCTTTCTCAGAATTTTGACAATATGTTCCTTTTAACATAATGTGGTACATTGGTTGTGATAGTATTTGACACATTACAATTTGAGATATGATAACATTCATTTGATTCTCCACAGGGATTCAAGAATTATAATTAAAAGAAGAGTTACTTAGATTTTTTTGTTAAAAGAAAGAAATTTGATAAAAAAAATCAATTCCAATTATTAACATGTCAGTTGCTCAAAATAAGGCTTGAAAGCCAGTCAACAGTTCCCATTAATGATGAAATTAAAGTCTCCTACATCTTCCCATTCTTCCTAGTACAATGCATCTCTTGATAAAGACTAATAATTAAAACAATCGCCTATCTATTTTCTAATTTTCAGATTTAACTAAAGTATTGCATTTTATTTTTAAGACACACTTTTTAATGGTCTTGGTCTTGGAGCCATCATTGGCCTGGGAGTGGCTGCCCTGTTGTTGGTCCTGGTAATAACAGATGTCAGCTGCTTCTTCATTCGACAATGTGGGCTGCTGATGTGCATCACCAGAAGAATGTGTGGAAAGAAGAGTGGCTCCAGTGGGAAGAGTAAAGAGTTGGAAGAGGGAAAAGCTGCTTATTTGTAAGTGTGGGCCCACTGCACACCCATGCACATCATGTAGCACATTTACACCGAGTGCTCCATCCTAAGTAGGGTCAATGCATTAACTAAGTCACTGGGCATTATTGTTTACCGATCTTGACCTTAAATCTACATTGTGATAAGGAATACATACTTAGAGTCTAATGAATTTGAAAACACTTAGTTCAAAAATCAGCCTTGCAAAAGGATTCTCACAGAAGAGGATCTATGTAGTAATTTTAAAATGAGATATTGTGTGTGTGTGTGTGTGTGTGTGTGTGAGAGAGAGAGAGAGCGAGAGATAGAGAAAGGAAGGAAAAGAAAGAAAGAAAGAAAGAAAGAAAGAAAGAAAGAAAGAAAGAAAGAAAGAAAGAAAGAAAGAAAGAAAGAAAGAAGAAGGAAGGAAGGAAGGAAGGAAGGAAGGAAGGAAGGAAGGAAGGAAGGAAGGAAAGAAAGAGAAGGAGGGAAGGAAGGAAAGAGGGAGGAAGAGAAGGAGGGATAAAAAAGAGGGAAATGCACACAGGAATATTTCTATGTAATTTCCCCTAGCACTTTTCAGTTCATAATGGATTTTTTTAAGTTATAAAAGGTTATCCTGTATTCAATGAGAAAGAATAGATAAAAATAAAAATGTCATAGAAGCATAAACTGTTTAATGGTGCTTCAATTAATGACAAATGGTGGTCACATAAGATTACAGTACAGGTTAAAATTTTTATAGACTCAAGATATCCTTCATAAAGCTAGAGCAAATATATCCCATATATTCATGATGATGTTTGTATAAACAAATCTACTGCTCCATAATGGTATAAAATTATAGTACATACAACAATGAGTATCATTATTATGAATGATGATATCATTATATATATTCATATATATATAAACTAAGTACTTTTTATCTTTACATTAACTCACATTAACATCAACTTATTTTCCTGTAAAATGTAGCTTTTGCTAAATTTTGAGCTTCATTATACCTCCTGTTCTCTCTCCACATTCTCTCGTTGTTTCAAAGCACTAGATAATTTTCTTGAAATATATGAAGGTGATAAAAGTCACTTACAATATTTTAGTTATTTTTTTCACTTCTTGATAGAGACATTTCAACTATAACACATACTTTACCTGTTTTAAATTTTATTTTTCAAAATTTTGTAATTGAATCAATATTTCAAAGGACATATTTAAACTGTTTCTTAAATGCTTAGATTATTTTATGCTTATAATGTACCTAGGTGAGGGCAAGTTATTTGCTATAGACTTCATTTATGAAACTTAAAGATACTGTACAGTAGCATTTACATGAAAAATACTTTTGCAAAATAAGTTTTGATTAAAACAAGAGATTTAGACAAAATGACCTGACTTCTTTCTGCTTATTTTAGATGAAAATATATGGTCAAGCAAATCCACACACAAAATTCCTAATACTTTTAATACTATTAATTCCTAATACTTTTTATGTTAAAATACTTTTTATTTTTAAAGGATGGATTTGCTTAAATTGAGTTTGAGGATGTTTTATAGTGAATATTTTATTCTATTAAAATAAAATGGTTTCTTTTTTCTTTCTAGGAAAGATGGATCCAAAGAGCCAATAGTGGAGATGAGAACAGAGGATGAAAGAATTACCAACCATGAAGATGGGAGCCCAGTAAATGAGCCAAATGAAACCACACCACTAACAGAGCCTGAGTATGTGTCTAGAAGCTTTTACTTATTTTGGATGATAATGAGTATAGTGATAATCCTTTTTCATCATTTTGTAGTAAGAATTTATGAATACCCACATTATTTATAAAGAAAATACTTTTAATGAAAACTTGTTAAAATCAATTATTGATACATTTCATAGGAACTTTTTGTATCAAGGTCAGAAAACATATACTGTTCAATCATATGTTTAGAATTTTCTTTAATAACATTAAGAATATAAAAGAAAGTCAATATTTCTTATTACATTGAATTTTAAAGTATATTGCTAATCCTCCTGTATTTGAATTTCACACAACAGAAAATACTAACAATTATTGTTTAAAAAGCTTGAGAACTTAATAAATCATGCAGATGACATAGTAAAATTTTCAACTATTTATATTCCAAGACATTAAATACACCTTAATATCAATCGATTATAAATCCAAGTGGATCTACAAATCCAATTCGTAATTTAATTAGTTCCACCCACATTTTTGCATTATAACACATTATAATAGACAATATTAATAATTTTATTATCTGTCAGTTTTCAAATCAGTTTGATGATAGTTTTGTTAGCTTGTTTTTCGATGTCATAATAATATTTTCTTGTATAAACAATGACTTAAAGATTCAATTATATCTCCTAAAATTCCTGAACAAATTGTGTTTATTATTACTTTTTCTGTTTCCTTCCAGAAAATTGCCTTTAAAAGAAGAAAATGGGAAGGAAGTCCTAACCCCAGAAACTATAGAAATTAAAGTTTCCAATGACATCATTCAGTCAAAAGAAGATGACAGTAAAGCATAATGACAATGTTACAGCAGCTTGATCAACAGTAAAAAGAGCATCTGGATCACAGTGAACTTATGACCAAAACTATTCCATTGACCTTAATTTCTTGGGAAACTTCTAGCTTGGAATAGAGTGTACACATATACATAGGATCAAATACTCCTGCCCATGGCCTATTTCCTTTATTTGTTGTTGTTGTGGTCGTTCATTTTGTTAACAACTGCAATATAAATACTTCAATGGCACCAACTCTTAGGTATCAATTTGATTATAGGATTGAAATATTGCAAAGAATTACTGGTGAAAGTGTTCTACTTCTTGAGAATTTTGTCTTACATACCATCAACAAAGCACTTCTAACTCTAAGAAAAGAGACTGTAATCAGACAAAAAAGTTTTGTGGCCTAAATATTGGGAAAGTCCTGCATATGTGTGACTCTTATCTTTGCCAAATACAAGGCTAAAGTGGCTTCTAGCTTATAGTGAAGACACATAGGAAAGCTTACACATTTTATCAGGAGAATTTCAGGGAACCAGGCTTAAGAGAGAGCCACTTATTCACTAACATTAAAAATTGAGGAAATGTTGGAAAAATCTTTCCCACTTATGATTACTGTGCATTTTTCACACTGTTTTTTGATACACTGAAGTACCAGATCAAAATTGTTACTCATTTGTAAGAACATTAGTTGTATATAAAACTAACATGATTATAGAGACTTTCCCATATGTTGGTCTCTTTGTGTATGCCATTCTCACTTACAATGGATCACACACAAAAAATAAACGTATTACAAGTAAATATGATTTTGATTTCTGCCCTCAGCTTCAAATAAAAGAAATTGAAATGGGAACAATATCTACATCTTGTCTGCATATATTTCTACACATGATTGTATTTTATCTTTAAATTTACCAAAAAAAACAAACAATAAAACTTAGTCTTTAAAACTTCAGATCACATCTTCAGTCATGTTCAGTCCATGCAAGGTTAAATCTTTTAATGTGCTTAGTCCCTTAGTAAATTAAAGTAACCACTGGGAATTAGACACCAAAGTTTAGTTAAATGAAAGAGAAACAATTTAACTTTCAAATGTGCCATAGAACTGTCAATGGTGAACAATTGCATTTCCATTGTTTTTTTATTCTGTGTCTTGTAGGTAGAATCCATTTTAAGATTTCTATTAAGTAACTATGGTTACACAACCACAACCATATGTTTTTCAACATAAACATTGTAATATCAGTTGTTAATGCATAAATAGCAGAATACAATGTTTCTTAACTTCCAAGCTATGCAAGCTCCCAGAGATAAAAGCCTGAAATATGATTTAATTTATATAGAAAAAAAAACATGGATTTGTGACTACAGATATCCATTGGGAGCAGGTTTTAGATTATTTCTTACCTAGATAGCCAAAGGTGTCTGTGGGCCCCTTTACATTCATAAACTTCACTCTTCAGCTATTGCATAAAGAGTTCAAATGTGGATTGACTAAAGATTCATTCCTATAACATTGGATGGGTTTTTAACACTGCAGAGAGAAACTGCTTTGATAGTGTCTTTCTGTACTTATAACTTGACAAAATCAAATACAATTATCAATGCTACTCATGAGCATTTTTTTACTTACCAGTTGTTTAGAAGTACCAGTCGTGGAGATGAATAAGTCACTTTATATTTTTACATTGCTGACTCTCAACAGAACCGAATATGACTATCTGCATGCAGAGGCACCAGAGTGTTATTTTGTTAATCTTAGGGTTATAATGCAATCATCTCCCCTTGTGACAAAAAAGTGAAGAAAAATGAAAGAAACTCTGTGCCTACTTGGGAATTTTGGCAGTGTCTACAAAGCAAAGCAGTGAGGCTTGGTTATCTAATTGGCTGTTCACAGATTTGACTTTTATTGTCTAGATTACAGTTTGTATGATAATTTGGGTTGATTTATTTTATTGTTTTTGTACCAATGTGCTAAAACTAGTCAAAACACTTGAAATTTGTTGGGGCATTTTGTGTGTATGTGTGCAAAGTGAACAAGCTTAGTAAAGTATAAAGCATTAACCATGAGGATTAATTTTTTCATTAATAAGCCAAATGGTTTAAATGAAAGATACTGAAATAATTCACATAATTGAGAAAGCAATTCCGCATGTTTACTACTGTCACCATTGTGTTATACAGAAAGAACAGTGAAATCAGAATAAAGAACAAAATAGTTTTGTGTCTTTTCAGTTTTAAAATTGTTTCCTAATTTCTTTGGATTTTCCATGCAATTTACTTTTTTCATCTATCTATCTGTAGCTGTATATCTATACAAGATATAGATATATAGATATTGATTTACAGATATGAATATGTGCATATGTATAAATATATGCAATTAATATTTCCCCTCATATGCAGAACTTAGAGCAAATGAATGGATAATTGATGAATAATAAATTCAAACAGTCGGTTTCAAGGACACAGATTCTGTTATCTGAGATCTCTTAAGTATTGGTCTTCGATTTTTAAACCAATGAAGGTACATTGTATTATCATCATAAACAGGTTTTTTGTTTCTAACATTGCAAAATCAAATTTTTCATCAATTAAGAAATACCTTGTAGTAAATTGAAAATTTTTAGTAGTATTTTTGTCTTATTTCAGATTAAAACCATTTATAAGTGTGCAACTATTTATTTCTTTGAATCCTTCAACTGTTAGTAAAAATATGTCAAGTTCTCTGAATATAAGTGCTGTTAAGATTAACCAAACCCTATACTATTTTAAACCGAGAGGCAAAAATACCCCTGAGATACTGAATTTTTAAAATGTCATGTGCAATTAAATAATAATAATCTATATTCAACAACCTTTACAAAGACACAGTAATATCAGAATTTTAATGTTTTACTTTTTTAAAATTGACACAAATTAATGTGTCAATCTATTTTACAATAATATGAAAAATTAAGAATTGTGATTTCTACAGATTTATTTGTTATTTTTGCAAGAAAGACATATTGTCACCTATTAATACTAATACTTAACATTAATGTTTCTTAGTTTTCCTTTATTCTTGATATTAAAAATATCTACCAATACATTTTTCACAGGCTATTTGTTTCAATAAACTTCATATGAATCAGTCTCTGAATTAAACATTTATATAAATAGGAGCTTTATCATACTTTTAGTTTATCTTTCTTATTTTAAATAATTGAGAGGTATTTGTGCCTTCAAATTAGCTCAACACCTGGCTTTATTAAAAGCAAAATACTGTAACTGCCAGGATCATTGATATATTTTGTTTATTCCAGTGATGCTCAAAATACACTGTTTTATTTTTGTTAAATAAAGAGCTCAATTCAAACTAGTTTACTTGGATATCAAATTCAAATATTATAAATTATGTTGTGATTTATTTTCCTATTATAAATTCTTTTAAGCTTATCAGAAATATTTTATTTTGTTGTTTTTCTAAAGAATAAATGCATTCTAGATACTGCTGAAATGGATTTGTTAAACAACTGTAAGTTTAAAAATCATAAATTTCTTGGGTCTTCATTATGACTGTCAATATGTATTTGGTTTGGAATCATGAATCATCCAAGTGATGATAAGATAATTACTGATGAAATATGTACAATTGAATGGATAGTAAGGGTATTCTTCATTTCTTAATTTTAAAAAGTATTGACAGAGCATATTACAATTATTTATAACATTAGCAATGTTCTTTTACATGGAGAATAATGTAAATGCCTAATTAGAATTACTCATGGAGTTCTTTTTTATAATCTTATTCAGAGTTCTTATTCAACAAATTTTATTAGCAGGTGAACATATTTTTTTAAATGAGATAGCAAACATTATTTATCTCTGGAGAGAATAGACTAGCATCTCCGTATTAACTTTTCCCAGCTTTCTTAAATAGTCTCTGAAATTGAAATTGTTTATGGATATTTTGACATATGCTAAAAGTAAAATTTTTGAAGATTAAAAATTTAAGACATTCTAATCATAAATTGGAAATCCTTCAAGAAAATATTCTATGTATGGACTTAATTATGTCTGTGATTGAGAGAGTTTTGAGGCTACCCAGAGTCTTTGATAACTGAAGTATAAGTATTGCTGTACCCTTCCCTTTCTGAAAGCTGCATTTACCCATGTAGATGCAGATGTTTAACAAAACTAAACAAACATAATAATCACTTAGTTATATTCTTTTATGTAAAAGTCAGACTTTATATATAGTGCCAAATATTTATTTGACTAAGGACCCTTAGTCCAACAGTTCATACTTCCAATATAGAATTTTACCCATCTCTTGTCAATTAGTTGATAGTATTGCTTGAATTTTCTCTTTTTTTACTATGCTTTTGATTTTCTGATCACACAATATTTGTAATTATTAGTATAAAAATTGCCCATATAAACTTAAATATTGCAACTTCAATTTTCTTTTCTGAAATGAAAAAAAGCATCTTTTAACTAGTAGACTTAGTTTCCATGGATGAGGATAAGCAAAGTGTTGATGTTGGAACATTTTATTCACAACCAGAGAGAAGAACAGAGAAAGAAAGAAAGGAAAGAAACCATATTGCAATCGAACTTCTACTTTAGTAATAAATAAGAAGGAAGTGATTAAGTGACTACCAGGAGTGCTCAGCCAGGTAGAAAGAATTTTTCTTACATGTAAATTAAGGCCAATTTGACTGATTTCTGGGGGGAAAATCCTAACATATAGTGAAATCCAGAAAAGAAACTTAACAGACCTAGGAACCATGATTCTATTTAATATGTTTTAAGAAACAATAGGCTACTGTAAAATAAGTGACAAACAAAAAGCATAACTGTTCCAATTCTTTAAAAAGGCTCATGGTTTAGCATTTGCTCATATCCCTTCTTAGAAATAGGTCAACTTCATAGAGATAAGGGTTAATTTGATTTTAGTACGTGAATTTTGTATTGTGTTCAGTATGCATTAAAACATACTTTTGTAATTCCTTTAACTTATATATTCCATT